GCCCAGCCTATGGTTCTTTTTTTAAAGGTAGATAAGCCTATCTGTACTTAGAGAAGAACAAAGCAAATTCTTTTAAGTTTATTAACATGCAGTCTATGAAACTTGTAGAATTGTATATATATGTATATAGTATTTTAAAAACTTGAAGCCATTTGAATTTAATATTCATATATATATTTTTACTTTGCTAGACATTATTTTATTTTATTTTATTTTTATTGAATAGTAACTGTGTACATTAATGCATTTCTGGGGTACAGTGTGGGGTTTTCACAAACAGTCTGAAACACTTCCATCAGACTGGTTAACATAGCCTTCATGTATCTAGACATTATTTTAGAGGGAGCATTTTTTCTATGTTTTAAAATTTATCTGTACGGAAAATTTTTATAAAGCTGTGGTAATTTGGTTATCAGATGGTCATTGTTTTTTTTGTGTGTGTATGTGTAAATATTTGAAAACACTAAGGTAAAAGTTATGCTTCATTGCATAGGAATTAGGATTTTCTAAACAGAGTAAAGGGAATTTTAAGAACCCTGTTCTCAAATCAAAACATCTTTAAAGCTTCCTTAAAAGGGTCCTGGGTGTGGTGGCTTGCACCTGTAATCCCAGCACTCTTGAGAGGCTGAGACAGGTGGATTGCTGAGCTCACAGGTTCGAGACCAGCCTGAGCCATAGTGAGAACCCTGGGTACTTGGGAGGCTGAGGCAAGAGAATCACTTGAGCTGAAGACTTTGAGATTGCTATGAGTTAGGATGCCTTAGTACTCTACCAAGGGCAACAAGTGAGACTCTGTCTTTAAAAAAAAAGTTTCCCAAAAAGGTTGTTACAATATCATTAGCCTAGTAAATATTAGTGTATTGTCCTAGAAGTACATGGAATATTAAAATGAAGGAGATTTTTATCTGAATTATTGAATAATTAAATAATTTTGAATAAATTTAAAACCATTTTAAAAAATGGGTGGTAAAAGTCACCATCTTCGATTGTGCCCTAAAACCTAGTTAAATTTGTAACTTTGCCCTGAGAAATCAGGAAATACAGTGTATGAAATAGTCTATGTTCATTAGATCTTGAGTGAGAAAAGGCAGATGATCTAGAAATCTTTTAGAACTGGATAAAAATTAGTCATAGCATAACTAGGACTAACTAGTTTATCTATATCCTAGACTAATGCTGCTTCTTTAGATTCTTGGTTCACTGCAAAGTGTGGGAAAGCCTCAGCAGTATATTGGACATTTGAAAACCTTTTATTCCTCAAAATTGCAAAATCCTAGGAGGAGCAGGTGTTAGGAAGATGAGGGTATATGAATTAAATGTTCTTTTCTAGTTCTGATAAAGATGTATAGCTGATTTTATGTCATGACCACTAGAGTTTCTAAGCTTTGAGTACCATTGGTAGACTAATAATAAACATTTTAGATTTAACATCTATTTTTAAAGCCCTTCTTTTAAAGTATATTAAAGGATGATAGATTTCTGACCTCTATAAAAATACCTGTTTTTGTTTTCAGCCTGAGTTCTACCAAGTATGCCACACCAAAAAGGATTATGAAGAAATTGGACCTAGCATTTGTCGTCACAATCCAGTGTTTGGAGTCATGTCGTAAAATTGACTTCATAGTTATTGGGGTTAGGGAGGAGGGGAAGAGATGATCTTTCTGATTACCTGTTTTGTCTGGATGGCTGGTTTTGAGGTTTTAAACCTTACTTGAAATAGTAAGACCAAACATTATTATACAGGAATATTTTAATAAGCGTATCAACATGAGATGTAGAAGAGAGCAAAAATGATTAAGTGTTTTTCTTTAGATTGAATATTTGAATCTTACGTGTAACAAAAAGAAGTGGGTTTTAGTTCTTTCTGTGCCCTGATATTTTGTATATTAATGAATTATCCAAGATTTGATGGGATTTATCAGTGTGTAGATAGCTCTATAATGCTTGAATTGTATACTTCTAAGTGTGCAATGCAAGAGCTTGTTTATATTTCATACTTTTTATACTTTGAGGAAAAAAAGTCAAAGAAAAACTTAGTATTTGAGGGAGAAAAAAATGACCAAGCAAAGGATAAATTAAAAAAATGGCCTCATGAGACTTGGCCTACATACTCATGGGATTCCAGTTATTATGAAGTGCTTCCTTCCATCCCCCTCTGCCCTTTCCCCCAAAAGGTTTTCTTTGCAAGTGCTTTTGGAACTAAGAGCTAGTATCTTGGATTAAATGATGCCT